AGCCTACTCTTGCATTTCGATTTTTTTCACGAAATACTGAAACCATACGTTTGTGTGTAAGTATGATTATCAGCAGCATTAGATTTTATAATGATTCTCTTCAGGGACGTCTGGTTGAAGGTAGGAGTAACTTTCTGGTGTTTTAAATATACCAGCACCAATTTATCACTGAAATGATAAAGCAGATCGCAAAAGATTTGGTTTTTGCAAGGGTGGCTTCAAGGTCAAGCTTAAGGTGCTGGGCTAAAATATCGAATTTATCAAAGACACTTTCCTTCAAAATTATATAAAATGTGCTTACTCAAGACTTGTGGCTGAAATGGTGATCACTTTCACTGCAATGGCTGGACTGCTGAAAAGCGCTTTGGGCAGCAGTAAGCCATTGGTGTCATCATTCCTTAACATCCGAACTACCTGACTGAAGAGATCATCAGCATTCAGCTCTGCAAAAAAGATGGCTGTGAATTAACAAAAGAGATTCCAGAACAGACTACTCAGGGACCCTAAAACTTTGGAAATGAGAAGGCGTGGTTTTCACTATTCCAGAAATGAGGAACTTTGCCTCATTTCTGGAACAGTTTACTTCAGTTTAATTTTCATTTTTCAAGTGAAAAAAAATTACTAAAATATGTTAAGTAGAAAAACAAGGGTACCAGGATACTAACTGCTGGTTAGGTTGACACTGGTCTGCAGTACAACAAAATGCATCGCACAGTTTTCCTGACATATTGAAATTTGTTAAGCTCGTTACTACTCCCACAAAGATCCCTAGAAGGGGTCTGGGCGGAATGTTGTGCGAGAAGTAAGCATGATTTTCGAAGCGTTAATTTTTTTCGATGAAACTAAAATAATTAAGTTTAGCACAGTAAGAAAGAAAACAGGGTTGACTGAGGACCGGGATGAGAGAACGAAAGAGGCGGGCGAGGTAAATTAGAATAATGAGGGTACTATCGGGAAAGGGAAGAGTAAAAAAATTGTGAGCACCAATCAGATCAGATTACTAACTTTTTCAGTTCGCCTGGAAATGACTATCCATAATCGCCTAAATTCGGGTTAAAAATCGACAAAAAAGACAAATTATAAAGCAAGTACCAGCTGTCAGAGGAAACTCCAAGAAGTAAGCGCAGCGATTGTTTTCTAATGAATTGACGCGCTCCGGCACCGAATTAGCCTGGTCATATGACGGCTTTTTAAAGATTAGCGCAAGCGCTGGCTGCCAGTATTGGTTCTAAAAATCTTTTCATATTTGGAAAATTTCGATCATTTCAAATTATTTGCCAAAAGACCATATATAATTATTCACATTGTGAACTGATTATAATATTTATTTGGAAGTGCTGAAATCACGATTCGTAGGAAGCGGTGTTGTTGTCGTGCAGCGGGTCGGAGGCTCAACTCCATCAATGTGCAGCGGGTCGGAGGCTCAACTTTGCCGTTCGTTCACTTCTCGACGTTAAATTGGTACTACGATATGAGAATAAATCAAATTCATCAGCAGCGTGCTTTTATGCAACCCTCAAAAAAAGTAGCCTTGCAAGTGGCTAGCTGCGGTTGACACTTGCTACCGCTTGGGATACTATTTGAGTGTTCCCATCGTACGTGCAGAGCGAGTACAGTGGAATTTTGTCTTTTGACAACCCTCAAGGATATTAGTATTTTAACACTATTTTGTACGTCCCTTATGTTAGCAGCATTCTTAGTATTTTAGCAGCATTTTGTACTTCGCTTATTGAGCAGCTAACTTTTACAGCAGTTTCAAAATATTTTTCATGTCGCCCTCTTCCCTCGTTCTTAACTTGATTTCATTGCATGGCTCTGCGAATGTGTCTTTTTTTATGCGTTTTTGCTGTTCAGCGCTATAGCGCTGCTACAGTGAGCAAAAACGCATATTGTCAATATGTCGCTCGTGCTTGTATGTGTATGTGTGTGTTCGAAAGCGAGTGAACTTTGTCACCCACTTTCAACTCAGTAACCAGGAAAGCTGGAAAGCTGAAATCTTGAAGACTTATTCCTACCCCGTATGTCTGCGTCCCATTCTAAAGTCATCGTTCATACGCGCCTATTGCATGCAGAGCTCTTTCCTCCTTTAAAAAATATGCAACTTTCTTTGAGGGGAAACAACTTTAGAAACAAGAAAGAAAACTGGGACTTTGTAAGGATATTCTATGTGCTTGTGCAAGCTAAAGATTTCAAATTCAGTCACAGCACACTCCTATGCAGCGCTTGCAGTCGCATCAAAGTTAGCACTTGGAACAGTGCTAATTCGAAAACCAGTCGGAAAACAGTGACTGAAATTTTGTCAGAATACTTATCACCTACATAGGAAATCACACGCCTAAACTGAGTTTCGGTTTGCACTTGCGCCACAACAGGGCATTGTAATAGCAAAGTGGCTATTTCGCTTACTGGATAAGGTGCGAGGCTAAAACTTCGCTGGAATATTTTACTTTCAAGTGTTGCCTTAATTAAGTTTGTAGATGAAATTCCAAGCAGTCGAGTGTAAGAAATACTCAATTTTATGGCAAACTCAAAATCATGTGCGTTTTGTAGATTTCATAATCTTCTTTCGATTTCCTTCAAATTTGCACTTTTTCAATGAACGAGCATTTATCGCGAAAACGACCGCGTCTTATGCAAAACCCAGGCTGGAACTCATCAGGCTTGCCGGTGCGATCATGCGCTTTTGCACTAAACTCCCAAATCAATAATAGCAGGAATGATCCCTGCACTGTAGTTAACACTTGGGCTAATATTGGCCGTGTTTTGATCCTTACCGTATGCAGGAGGAAGGGCATCAGTTGGGGTGAAGGTGATGCATTACAGAGCCGCATGGACATCCAGGCACATGTTTACCAGTTTTCGGCATAAACCTTGGTCATTTTTTCGGTAAATAGTAAATGCTCGCTTTATGGCAAAATGAAAAATCCAAATTTTCTTGAAGAAATGCAAATTTTCAGTTCACTAAAAAGTGGAAGCATTGCTTGGGCGGTCGTTTGTCAAAAAATCCAGGTATGCAAATGAACTGAATGTTCATTTACATATTTGGATGATGGCGGTCGTTCGCCGCAAAACGCAATTGTTTCTGATTTTTTGGTAAAGTCGAGTATTTCTCATGCCCATCTGCAGGAAATTTCACTTCCAAGCAGAATTAAGATCACATTTGGAAGTAGAATATCCCAGCGAATTTTCAGCCTTGCAGCTTATTCAACAAGCGAAATAACCAACTCGCTGCATATATCTTTGAAGTGCCCTAAGTCGTGGCACAAGTGCAGTTCAGTAATTATTTTAGGTACACGATTTTCCTTACAGGCGAAAATCATGCTGACAAAATTCCAACCACTGTTTTTCGAAAAGTTTTCGAGTCGGCACAGTACCAAGTCACAAACTTTGACTTGGTCATAGGCGCTACACAGACGTGCGCGACAGCTGAATTTGAAAGCTTTAGCTCGCACATGCATAGAGAATATTCCTGCAAAGTTTCAGCTTTGTACCTTGCCCGGTTCGCGGTATCGCTTACCGCCAAAGAAATTTGCATATTTTTTTCGGAGGTCCGTGAGAGGAGTCTAGACGCGTTTGGGGGAAGGTCTTAAAACGGGAGGGTAACACAGGGGTGAGAACATATAGCCAAACTTTCAGCCTCCCAGTGGCTGCTGAGATGAAATTGGTGACAAAATGCACTAGGTTCCAGACACACACACACAAACAACCTCTCGAAAATATGCGTTTTTGCTGGCAGTAGCAGTGCTATAGCGCTGCACAGCAAAACGCAAAAAAACTGTTAATCATGTACGCTAGAACTGACAATCATGTACTCGGCTCCATATTGCAACAAATTCACCTCAGCCGACGCCCATTCCCTCTGCATGCCGAAAAAAGTGGAAACTCAGCCAATATGAGTTCAAGTGTTAAACTACAGCGTAACGACCATTCCTGCTGTTAGCGATTTGCAAGTTTAGCCCAAAAACGCGTGATCGCACCGCAAGTCTAGTGAGTTATAGTCTGGGTTATTTTTGCAGGTCGTTCCGATTTGTTACGGTTCATCTTAATTTTTTGGTGGTAAAATTCGCTGCAGTATATTTTAATGGCATAATTTTCTGCAATTCAATCCCAGCACAGCATTACGCCACTGATGACCTGATTTCCATGTCAGCAAGCATACATGCCCCGCCAGAAGTCCCTCACTTATGCAAAAAATAGAGTAAAATGAATTTAACCTCGTGAAGACAGTTACTGCATATCGAGAAGAATTTCCAGTCCTCCGTGGACATTCCGGCGCTGCTTTGCAAATGAACTATCTTGTCTGCAAAGCGACGCGTCAGATCTTGGTAGCCCTGTTTTCTCCATGCCTTACATACCCTGGAAAGAGCAGTTTTTCAGCAAAAGCATAAACAGGTATAAAAAAATATGCTCAAATTCATGAACCAAAAGTTTCCTTTTGATTTTCTTGCTATAATTTTTCATTAGAAAATCAGGTTTCTTTCCTATCCTTCACGAAATTTTATGATAGTTATCTTTGGTGCAATCTTTTGCACAATTTTCTATGTCATAAAACTTTTGTGGTATACCATAATTATGTCCCTCGTTTGCTTTGTCAAGTGAGCTTAGACTGCTTTTGTCACATAAGCGTTGTGAATACCACAGCCCATAGGGGAATATGCTTTTTGCTGTCCTGGA